CCAATATTCTGTTGGTCTCCTGCCTCATTAAGGGGTCCCACTGCCCTTAAGGGAAGGCCAGTGGAATCTGCTGCTGCTCGTGGCTGTCCTCTCTGGACCCTCCTCTGAGTCTGAGGAGGGTTCTCACCCCCAGGGGCTTGGGCTGCCTCAGCTTCTCCTGGGGCCTCCAAACACCCCAGTTGTGATGGCGTTGTGGGCAAGTAGGGAGGAGACTCAGATAAAAATTATTCTTCTGTATCACCCTGTAGGACAGGATAAAGTGGGGTGGACGGTTTGGTCTCATTTTTCCGCCACTCTTCTTCGCACAATGCGAGAATGGCTGACTTTGGATTTTGTGGTGGCAGAAATGGTTTGAGCCATTCAGGGGGCTCCTTGACCAAGGCCTGCCAGGTTATGATGTAAGGAACCTGATCAGGGTGTCCCAGTTGCCAAAAAATGATGTCTTTAACCCTATGAACATTAGGGAGGTCAAAGATGCCCTCTGTCGGTCATCCAACATTAAAAGTTGGCCATTCATTTCTGCAAAAGGTAGAAAGTTTGCCTTTTTTAACTTCCAACCCTTGTCCTCTTGCCTTACCTCTGAAGTCAGAAAAATGATCCTGGAAAAGACTTAAAGCTGTTACTTGACTTTGTCCCATGTCTATAATGATGTAAATCACAAACAAGACAAACAATGTAGAGACACACAATGATAACGCTTCCTGGCGCCTTAATAAAAACCAAAAGTGGTGTCGCGAGCCAGGACTCTGTCCAGCAGAGTCCAGGAAAGATGACACAGACACCAAGGTGAGGTTCAAGCTTCTTTTTCTCACTGGCATTTTACTTGACTTTGTCCCATGTCTATAATGATGTAAATCACAAACAAGACAAACAATGTAGAGACACACAATGATAACGCTTCCTGGCGCCTTAATAAAAACCAAAAGTGGTGTCGCGAGCCAGGACTCTGTCCAGCAGAGTCCAGGAAAGATGACACAGACACCAAGGTGAGGTTCAAGCTTCTTTTTCTCACTGGCATTTCTTTATTCTCTCTTATATTCTCTCTCATATTCTCTCTCTTTATTATTCTCCCTTATTCTCCCTATTATTCTCTCCTTATTATTCTCTCCTTCTCCTTCTCATTACACACTTCAGCTCTTTATATAGCATTCCCAACAGCCCTCCCCCCAGCCAGGACCAATCAGGGCACACACACGCATAGCGGGCAGGCAGAGTGGCAGCTCATTGGGCCACGTAGTAAGATCATCAGGCAGGCAGCACATGTTCGGGCTCATCATCATGAGCCTTGGCAATCAGCCAAGAGCTGGAGTAAACAAGCACGAGGCTTGGCAGCCAGCCAAGGAGCTATCTTTGGCTGTCTCGGCCGTGCTTGCTTCCCACATCTCCCCTTTTTTGTTTAAATAAAACCAAGGGAGGCCAAGGAACTGTGCCTGGCTTAGGTTGCCCTCTTTCATTTGGCATCCTTACCCGTCATCAACTTGGCAACATCATGGTTGTCGGTCTGCCTTAGGTTGGTATGCAAATGAGAGGGTCGTACCCGTCATTGACTACCGGTCCAGCATATTTAGCCAAATGCGAGGGTGACTTGCCCTTCTCTAAGGCAGCCATAGCCTGTATTTGCTGCTGGTGAGCTGTCTGCCACCGCATCTTACACACACACCAAACCATACAGACACAAGCAGCAACCGGCAGGAATTCCCAAAAAGCCATCCCTCCCAGGTCCTTGAGGAAGGAAAAGGCTCCCTGGAGGGTCTTCATCCAGTCTTCTATAGAGACCATCTTTACTCTTGTAGCATTCACTGCCACAATTGATGCCTGTATCTTCGCTCCAGTTGCCTTGGAGAGCTGTAGAGAGTTCTCTAGATAGATTACCTGCCTTAGAGAAATTAAGATACTCCACAGAGGTTATTCTTAATCCAGGTATATGATAAATACATCCCACAAACATTAACTGCCCTAAAATATCTACTTGTTCCTGTAATCTACTCTTTGGTTTACCGAAAGTAGGCCTGCCTTCAACTACACGAATAATTTTTATCTCCAATGCCTCAGTGATGCTCTGAGACATCGAATTTAACACAGCAGTAGTGCTGCAATATTAATCAAAAGGTTTCTCGTAGAACTGAATACTTTAGGAAATATACTAGCATCATGACTTAGGGGCAATGGCAGGGGAAAGGCCTAGAGCACACTCTATATTATTCTGATTTGTACTTCTCCTTTCTTTATCATCAGTATCACTATAAACATGATTTACCAAATTCAACATGCCCGGAGGAAGTGGGCCTGTGGCATAGCTGCTGTTATTCCAAAATCTCTTTTGCTTCTGTACAATGTCAGTTCAGCACCTGGGGGAAAAACACAAACAGCTCCCCTCACCTGCGCTAACGCTGGCCACCTGTAGAGCCTGCTCTTGGAACTCTCCTCTCCATAATAGATAATAACCTCCTGATAATAACCTCCTGACAATACTGCTCTACACAACTGTTGCCAATCACTGGGTGTTAAGTATTGTGGATACACCTTAATGAATTTCAACAAAGTTTTAGGTTCATAATTTCAAAGATACAGTTTTTCAATTTCTTGTTCCTCCAAAACTCTTTTAATCTGATCCTTGTTCTCATGCTTACTTTATACGTTTCCCATATTCTCAAATATTCTTAAGTTCTTGCTTACTCTGTACGTTTCCAAATATTCTTAAGTTCTTGCTTATTCTCAAATATCATTAAGTTCTTGCTTACTCTGTACGTTTCCCATATTCTCCAAAATTCTTTTAATCTAATAAC